CAACATAATGTTCTTTTTAGCAGCATCATATGACCCCTTTAAAGAAATGTCATTATGTTTAATACATACAAGTAGCAACTTCATAGACACCCTTATTGAAAACCCTGAATAAAGAAAATAAAGGCTCACCTGTCATTTTGGGATGATTTGTCGCATTAATAGCTGGAAAGGTGGTCTGTTGGGAAGCGGACAGAGGAGTGGAGGAAATGACAGGTGTTGGGGACTCGGGCTTCCTTATGATGCATGATTTAACCCTCTCTAAACATTGCTCTACTAGTTTCATCATCTTCTCCAATTCCACCGACTCCATCTCTCCCTCCTCTGCAAGAAGAAGTGCATAAGAGTCATATGTCACATTCAGTCCATAAAAACAGAACTTTAAATGTACAGTCTGACAGTGGAGTTACTCCTGCCTAATCAACCAGGCAAACTTAACATAAGCCTGAGAAGTTGAACAAAGGTGATATCTAGCCTTATCTTAATAGGGCTTTAATAATCATTTAATGCAATCTACAGAAGTTAAGATACATTTGAACCCTGTGTGTCTTGTCAATGAAATTAACTTTGATGTCATGATGAAGCACACAAATTTGTGACACATTAGCACATACAATCTCTTCCTTAAAAGTTCTCTCTTGAAATAGGAAGCCAGTTTACATCACAGGACAATGACTAAGGCAGAGGAAATAAATTGCATTGTGAAATAACCTTTGAAGCCTGAAAGCACACATCACATTTGAATAGAAAGGTTGAAGTAATTTTTTAAATTAAGTATGATGACTAACTTACGTTTAGATGTGGCATCTTCAAGCAGAGCATGAGAGATGTAGTTGATACTTCTCAAATATTCACAGTACGCCTCCTATAAAAGGAAATAAATAATCATAGTGGGTGGCAGGAAGATTTTATTGGATGTGTTCTGCAACATAGCGCCATAGAGTTATGTTGAAGTCTTTGCTAGATGTCCTGTTCTGGTGTATCTCGAATTGCCACAACCATCCACAAAAAAAAAGAGAAACACAACATGATTTATCAACGAAATGTTTCATCTAAATCTGCACTGAATCTGTGTTTTCACAACATGAACTCAAACTAGCCCTGAAGAATCTTTAAACACACTCTAATACCAGACGAGTAGGAAACAGGTAATAACGTTTAGTTAACATCAAAAGGTAAACACTCCATATGACCGTTGATGTGATTTTATCCAACGATTTTATCAGGACTTTTATTGAATGAAGTTCACATTTTGGACGCAGTTTTTGTGGGGAAAATCATTGGGGTCCTCTCATGATCATCGGCTTCGATCAATGTTTACGCTGATAAATGACGTGACTCTCGCATGCATTTATTGGCTAAATATGACCATATCTGGACTAAACAGGGCAGGTTTAAAGATTTAAACATCTGTACCTTGTGTCTGTTGCCGGTATCCAGCTGAATGGCCACTTTTACAAGTCTCATGGCATTCTGCAGCGGTCTCTGATTGCTGTCACTGACAGGAGCGGCCATCCTGCCGAAAACAATCGCGCGAGTCTGTCGGCAATCCGCAACAACCCCTAGTGACGTACTTACTGCGTTTTCAAAATAAAAGGAGATGAAATCATAGCTTTTTACTGGCATACGTTTAAATAAACAAAGAAAGTACAGCACGTATTATAATATTTGTTTGACATTTCGGGATTATTGCTTTGAACTGACACTTGAGGTATGACTGTGTGAACAACAATAATAATAAAGAAAAAATAACTGAGACTGAGATAAAAAAAAAAGAGACTGAGATAAAATTTGAATTAAATGTGCCTTAAATGTATTTAATTAAAATGTATTTAATTGAGTTAAATAACTGGGGAAACAAGTAGTAAAATTGTTATATTGTTTATAATCATTTGTTTTTATTTGTTATACCTTCAGTTGACTCGTTGAAATGCCTTATATTTTGCGTTGTTACAATGCAATAAATGCAATGATATATGAATAAGGTAACAATTTAGTACGGTCATATTTCTATCTTTTTCAAAGTGATGAATGAGTGAAGTGCTGGAGATATAGAAAACCTCAGATGTCACAATGTCATGCAGTGTAATTTTAGAATAATTTATACTGTACATCATAAACATTTGCTTTTTTTCGGTATTTTTATTTGAGTTTGTTTTATTAATTTTTGTCATTTACTTTTGTCAGTTTCAATTGTTTTTGAAATATTTCTATATAACTTTAATGTTTATTAGTTTTTTTAAAGTAATTTTAGTACTTCATCCTAAACTTTCAGTTAGTTGCGAAGGCATTTAAATATTTCTAATTTTTAAGTTGAGTTTGTCTTTTCTTTCTTTTTTTCTCTACATAATATTTACATTATTTCTGCTTTATTTGAATTACTGAAAACTTATTGTTAACAATAACAACATCAGAACATACCTGGGGTGTATGGGTGTATTCCAGAACGCACGGTTAACTTACCGTCACAGCTAAACCCTGAACTTTCGGTTGATTAACCCCAAACCTTGCTTATTCGAGGTATGTGGTTCCCAGTGTTGGGGAAAGTTACTTTTAAAAGTAAAGTATTACAATATTGCGTTACTCCATAAAAAGTAACTAATTACGTTACTTAGTTACTTTTTTATGGAAAGTAATGCGTTACGTTACTTTTGCGTTACTTTTAAAATCTGGACAGGGCTTGCTTGTTTGTTTTTAAAATAAAAAAGTTATATTTTTGGCAAATATAAAAGCCTTTTCACACCAAAAGTGAAATGAATAAGCCTCAGGCTGAAGGGAAAGTAAATTTACGTCCGTTCTACTAGTAGAATGCAGAAGAAGAAATTTCAACACACTTGAAGTAATTTTTGCTTATTAGTATGGTTGAACTGGATCATCGAAGGTCAGAAGCAAAGACATTGGTTAATAGAATGGGATTAAATACATAAAGGATATTTGTGTTGTTTAACATTTAATTATTGCAGGTTTGCGTCATATTCTGAGTTGCATTATTTTTATTCATTTTGAGGAATACTGAATACTGTTTTTTTTTTGTGTGAGTGAGATGAATGAATGCATATTCATATTTATTTTAGAACTACAATAACATCTGATTTCTCTCAACATGGGGACAGGAGAGCTGTCAATCAATAAATTGGAAAAAA